ACTGCCTCGAAAACTGCAGTTAAAAAGCAGTTTTAGGTCAGGAAAACGGACTAAAGTAAGCTAAATAATGGTGTGAAAACTGAAAAGCACCATAGAAACAAAAAAAAACACAACCAAAGCAAAAATAAATTCCCAGTTTATAAAAATACAGATTTTATATCAAAAAAACAAAAAAAGTTTGAAACTAGTTGTTGAATTCGCAACGAAAAATACAGATTTACTCACACGTACAGTGGGAAAATGCAGTAGACAGATCGATTAGATGAAGGAAATCAGGTTTACATGAAATAAATAAAGTTTATTTCCTTTTTTGCTCTTCTAAAATGAAGAAAAACACAACCCGAGAGTCGCGGACCCATCACTTCCCGCCATGAAATATTGAAATGATGAAAATACAAAAATTGTTTGGCCGCGCGGGTAAGGGGACTGAGAATGACGCGCAAGAATGGCTTCAAAATCCGCCATCTTTGGCTTCACTTTTTGATTACGTCAATGACTGAAGTCAGCCTTCCATGTTATATAGTTCAGTGCTGCCCACTGGATCTGCCCACTGAACTATATAACAGTTCACTGGATCTGCCTCGTACCCAGGCGCTTAGCTTGCTTGCCGCCTGGAATTTCCAAGGGGGGATTTCTACCAGGAGTACCAGGCGCTATATTTTATTTTTATGACATTGATCGGCGAATGCTTCCATTATATGAATAGCCATTCTTCTCTTTCTTCAAGAAGATCTTTCAGTTTTTTCAATTTAATTCAAAATTTAAATACTACTTAAGTTTTGTTCATTTAGTTACTGAATATATTATAAACGGCCAAGAAATTGAGGAAGCTGTTTCCGCTATCGAGGGAAGACAGCCATACAGATTATTATCGGATAATCGCCTTCAATCCTGCTAACTATATGCCATAAAAACTCCTATTAACCAATGCATTGTCGGAGAAACACATTAGGGTCATCTACAGGGGAGAAAATGTGTTGTTTTCTGTGATTATGGTCTTATAAATTTTTGTTAAAGCTTCTCTTAAAATGCACTAGGGAATAGCATTAATGGACCATTGAAAACAAATATCGGGGTTCTCAGTCTGTGGTTCTCAGTATTTATTTCTTAGCCCCCCCCCCCCAATTTTAAGTGGCCATGCAAAAATCATTTACAGATTAACCTAATGTTTCTCAGCACTGTTATGGTATGCACCTCTGGTTATGCACTTGTAAATTATGTTATGCACTTCTAAATTATAACAACAATTTTAATCTAAGAACTAAGCTAATAGAAAGCCTCTCTAAAAATATGTTGTAAGATCTTGCACGGACTTGTAAGTTCTAAATTATGTTATGCGGTTCTAAATTATGTTATGCGGTTCTAAATTATGTTATGCGGTTCTAAATTATGTTCTGCGGTTCTAAATTATGTTCTGCAGTTCTAAATTATGTTCTGCGGTTCTAAATTATGTTCTGGGTTCTAAATTATGTTCTGCGGTTCTAAATTATGTTCTGCGGTTCTAAATTATGTTCTGCGGTTCTAAATTATGTTCTGCGGTTCTAAATTATGTTCTGCGGTTCTAAATTATGTTCTGCGGTTCTAAATTATGTTCTGCGGTTCTAAATTATGTTATGGAAGAACTCAATTTCGATTCGACCATGTGTAATCGAAATTGAGTTCTTCCATAATATAATTTAAAAGCGAATATTGACATGAATAACGCTTCATATAAGGGGCTGCTTATATAAAGGCAAGTCAGCCCAGGTAACTAACCTGGCTATAGCTCGCTTTCACTGGATGAATGTCTGTTTAGATGAGCCTCTTTAGATGGGCAGGCTTGCCAAAACAAATCACCCAGACTGAGTTGTATCATAGAAGCACATTTTCGAATAAAGTAAACCGACATCATACTTTTGCAGACAGTTTCGAAATGTAATCCATTGAGCTGCAATGCGCTCCAGTACGCCCTACTCATTTGTTTACTTGTTTAACGCCAGACGATTTTACTCGTCAGTGGGGAAGCTCTGAAGCTTAATGGGTTAACCAAAAATTCTGACAATGTCTCTAGTTAACCCATTGAGCCGCAATGTGCCCCAGTGTGACCCACTTATTTTATTTACTTGTCTACCGCCAGCAGTGATGTAACTTTACTTTTTTGACCACTTGCCCTCAAGGCAAGTTGGTCATGAAAATTAGTTGCCCTGAATAAAATCCACTTGCCATCAGACAATGGGGTACCTAGCTAGGGGGGTATAAATTAAGAGGACAACATGTCAACCCGTTCTCCCACTGAGCTCTATATGGCTGTTATACTGCCTCAGATCTAGCTTTGGTCCACGAAAAACAAAATTTGAATCAAGTCCATGCACTATAAAACAAAATATATCCGACAATGAAAACATAAACTTAAAGATGCCCAGCTTTTTGTGGCAAAGCAACTTGTCCAATCGGGCAAGCAAGATAAAGTGTTTACTTCGCCATCATGATATTCACTTGCCCCGGACAAGTGTTAAGTTACACCTCTGGCCAAACGATATTACTCGTCAATTGGGAAGCTCAAACTCTATGTACAGCTTAATGGGTTAATATTGAAATTGATCGGGAAATGTCATTTAGAAGATTACATTGTGCCTAAACAAAGCATCAATAGTTATACTGTGCCAAATCCTGCCAGGTCATTGTATATAGTTTATATGCAAAATCCTAGCTTGGCATTAGCAACATTTTGGGTGAATTGAAGCAGTATCATTATTTATTTAGCTTTGCCAACTAGGGTAGGGTCACCACAATGTTCAGCATATATGCCAATTACTGTTGGCCCTTTTACCTCACCCACCCTGTCAACTTTCCCTGTATTAGGAAACCAAAGTACCCGAGAAAACCCATGACTTTCAGCAGAGTGTTGACTTTACTGTTTTTACATGAAGACTGGGTTTGAGTCGCATTGAAAAAGTTCTCACTGAGGCTTGAACTTGCGGCCTTATATAGAGGTGAAAGGCAAGTGTACTAACTACTTCCCCACCGAAGCCCCCGTCTTCCCAAAAAGGACCAGCTCAGTTCTATATTATAAAGTAAAACACAAGCTGAAATAGAAAATAATAACAAAGTGAGAATCTCACCAAAACTGGGCCAGCTCAGGTACACAGGTGCCACCATCACCTCATATAAACAGCCACTAAATCTACCTGGCTGGATTATATAGATATTTTTCAATTAGGAATATTGGAAAAAACAGTTATTATGCACCAGTATTTTAAACACCCTTTACCAGAATAGTGATATTCCAAGATATAGATGTTAGTATCATGTTACTTCAATTGCATGCTTACATTAAACATGTAAAAGCATTTGAATTTTGTATTTCTTGCTTTGTATATTTATAACTAACCAAAAATAGGAAATTCATTGTCAATCAATCAATAATTTGTTACCATTATATATCAACCTTAATTTATACATTTTTCTTAATAGAGATTGTATTTAATATGGATTCATTATATATCCTAATGCTGAATGAAAAGTTATTAATAAAAGCTTCCCAGGAGAAGGCAAGTTGTCTAAACAAGTGGAAATATATATAATCATTAATGGCATTCTAAGTACTTCATGGTCTATTTGGAAAATGTTATTCTTTTGCTGGAGAGTATGTTTATGGATTAACAAACCACACAAGGAATGGAGTTGCTGACTTGTGGTATGAAGTTTGTACTTTTAAATTTAAACTAATGGACTTGTATGACATGCTTGATTGAGCAGTGACACTACGTGCAGTACGGGTATATTATACTTGTAAATATTCTACATTGAAGAGAATGTTAACCTTTTATGTGGCAATGTGCTCTATCTTATTATTTTTTCTGTCTAATGCCAGACAATTTTACTCATGAAGGAGAGAGTGCTGCCACTCAATGGGTTAAAGACTAATTTCTGTAGATGGAAATTTTGAACAATAACTAATATATGTAATACCTATGTACTGTGCCGAGAATGGAAGTCCTGCTGCCCTGTGATTCTGAATAGTTCCCTAACAGCCAAGAGTCCATCAAGCCCTGAGAGTTCAAGCCCCGAGAGTCCATCAAGCTAACCAAAAGTTCAGGTATAGAATACTATAGTGTCATCCCAGTTTATTTAATATACTACCAGTGACACCACCATGGTATATATAGAGGAAGTTATGGTTACATCTTGGCAAAAGTAGAATTGCAGGGCTGCAGGTTCAATTCATGCTGGCAGGCTTGTAATTGTATTAAACCTGTCTGTACCAGTACCAGTGTGGGTAGTACCGATGTGAAATTGCTGTCAGTGCTGAGTGGTTATATTACTACCTGAAAAAAACAAGCAGAACTCAACGTTTTGAGCGAAAGCCCTTTGCTCGAAACGCTGAGTTTCTGCCTGTTCTTTTTCAGGTAGTAATATAACCACTTGGCAAAGTAATTGTATTTCTTTGTAATTGCTCCCACATAGTTCTAAGAAACACTTTGATTTCTAAGGTTAGTTAAGGCCTTTTCTTACTCCAATATGTAGGAGTCATTTTGTCTACAGTTTCCCAATGATTGCATGCATTATATACAGGTACCGGTAGCTCTAGCTTATTTAGTTGTCTTATTATATTATATTGATATATTTTTTATTAAATTCCATGTATATGTTCAGTGATGTATGGCTCACAAATGTTCTTCATTTTAATGCAGTGTATATAGGTTGTGACAACTAATTGGTCAAAATGACAAAAAAAAATTGGTCAAAATGACAAAAAAAAATTGGTCACCTGGATGCATCTGAGAGAACCAATTAAAAATGGTTGTTTTAACCAATAAAATTAACCATTTTATTAATTGGTCAAAACAACCAAAAATATTTGGTTATATTAACCAATTATTATTGGTTGAAATGACCAATTAATTGATGGTTAATTTTATTGGTTAAAACGACCATTTTTAATTGGTTCTCTCAGATGCATCCAGGTGACCAATTTTTTTTGGTCATTTCGACCAATCAGTTTTTACAGTGTACCATTGGCATGCTACAATCATTTTTTGACCACGTACTGTATAGTACTGTACCTCTAAGCTCAAGCAATGACAGCCCTGAATACTTTTTTGTTTCTGGTGTTATGCAGTGAGGTGAAGATATGTTTGTGAGTGTGTCCACATCGAGTAAGCCGCTGAAAAATTTGTTTGACCGCGGTGGGAATCAAACCCGTGACCTTTGGTTTGCTAGTCCAATGCTCTACCAACGGAGCTACGAGGTCAAGGCGGTTCGAGTTATGTTTTGGAGCACAGTACCCGAGTTGTATTTACATTCGGGCGGTATTGTAAATCGGTGTGTGAACGTGGCCTTTAACACAAATACTGAAAGGTTATACACAAAAATATTAGAAATTATTCTCTTTGACATCATGTTTTAGCCATTTCAGTGATTTGTTGTCACAGCTGCATAAAGAAATTGTTCTGCTATCTTTGTCTTCGACTTTTTCAGCTCAGGTGGAGATTTTAACAATCACGGAAAAACATGGATCAGTTACGTGTGTTTCAAGGAGCGCGAAACTAAAACTGCGCGAAATATCGCATTTAAAACAAGTGAAAATAAATCGCGTGTATTTAACGTGGCACTATCATTAAATTTTTTTTTCATAATCCAGAAATATAACGTATGCTTGATATGCTTAATGGTCAATGGCAATTGAAACAAATTTGCGTTGAATGCAAAATTAATATTACAATGGCGAACGATTCAAGCCAAACAATGTATTGGTAATGTATGTATTTAATTTAAATAACGTCTTGTGATATTCTATTTGGCGAATTCAAAGACCAATATACTGTAGTGATTCGGGAAGTTGATCAACATTAATTTTGCATTTATTATCTACAGTCCTTATCATTATGAACCTCCACACCAAGAGTTCTTATTACTGGCAAACTGGCTTCTGTGAAGTTCGGATCTTATTATCGTAATTCCACAGATAACATTGTAAATGTTTGCAATACTAGATTACACTTATGGAAAAACATGCAATGGGATCAACTGTCTAAAAAGTTTTAAATGGCTGTTTTTCTGTTTGTCTTTCTGACCAGAGACAAAGTTCTTTACATGTATATACCATACTCATGATGATATGGACACATATTTGTGAGTGCAATACTAAACGTTGAGCTTGGGTCAAACATACATCTGTAGATGTACTGAATTAATTTTTTTAATCTGAACCTTTGTCAAACATATTATTATAAGGTGGTTGAGGGATACAGTGAAGCATTTTTTTCTAAGGGCATCAGGAAGGTCTCTCGACAGTTGTAAATTATTGTGAACACCATCTTAATGCCTAAATATGTATTGTCCCAGTATGTACTACAGTACATTATTATCTTTTCTTTATGCATATGGGGTTCATTTTCTGTTTGTATTTTCACTTTTATTACCGTTTTCCCTTTCCAGTTGTCAATTACAATTCTTAATATGCCGGCATAATACTGCAATCAAAGTCAGACTGATAATCCTCAGGTGGGGAATCCAATAAAACCAATTCAAATGAAAAACTTTATCAGGGTGTTAGCTAGCCCATATACTGTCCGTTTGACGGACCCTTCCCAATTGAAGTAGCTAAGGGGCTTTCCCAACTGGGTCTACTGGAAGATTTTCATTTTTTCTGACGAGAAAGTGCATTGCGTCTGATTTTATATTATTATATCAAAGAACGTTTTATTTACTTTTTTCCATTAACTATTTTCTCAAAATGTATCGTGTTTCGTTCATTTTGGGTGTGTATTCACTGATCAGTGTCATCCGTGTTCATTCACCGGAAATGAAATGTACAAAACCAAGCTACCGTTGTTTGCATCTCAGAAGAAACACGTTGGAAAAATCACTTACAATACAAGAAATTGAGATACAAGAAATGAACATTCATAAATTTACCTATGTATGTACAGCATTTGTTGTAAGTGGTTAACATTTTAAATTGTTGTCTGGTTTCTGGAGAAAACAAGGCAAAGCTGTTTCAGGAAATCTATAGAGAGTATACTTCACCCATAGGGTTTGGTCATGCCCTGCAACCAAACCAGTTTTCTAATGGCTAGGGCATACACAGATGCAAAACTCTTCTGAATATGCTATTTCCAAAATCAAATGACATCAAATGCAGCATGTTATAAAAACGTTAGCAATGATATGCTCCAACAATCTAATAGCGTACTTCATACAATCTGAAGTGTTTTCGTTACGTGCTACAGCACATATATTAACCTTTAAGTGGCAATGTGCCAAGATGCATCCTACTTTATTATTTTACTCTGTCTAATGCCATCTGACAATTTTACTCATCAGGGGGAAAGTGCTGCCACTCATTGGGTTAATCAGACTATCTGCCCATGCACCCTGTTAACTCTTTAAGTACTGGTAGCAATGGATCCAGATGCATTCTACTATATTGGGTCGTTCCATAAAAGATCCACACTCCCCCACGGAGGAAATTTCTGCCGTCCGGAGGGGGAGGGGAGAAAAAATTGTTTCTGATAATAGTAAATGTATTAGGATATCCAAATGGGGTAGGGGGGCTAACTTCCAATTTCCTCCGTGGGGATGGTATGGACGTTTTCTGGAATAACCCATTATTATCTTACTCTGTCAAACACCGGACGATTTTACTTGTCAGGGGGAGAGTGCTGCCACTCAATGGGTTAAGGCCATGGCACACAAGGCAATTTTACTTGCAACTTGCAATGCAATTTTTGGATATAGAGCCATGTTATCTAAAAGGTTGTCAGAGACATTTGAGTCCATTTGACTGGCCACATTCTAGTCTGACAACACTTTCCTTACATAACATATATTCTTAATTAAAGGATGGTACTACTTTTTAGATAACATGGCTCTATGTCAGAAATTGCATTGCAAAGCCTGGTTTTCACATGGTCATAAAAATAGAGTCACAATCTTTCTCAACAACCAGTTTATAATAATTTATACCTGTAAACCAAATATAAATCATAAATATTCTCTAGTTATAATCACTCCACATATTTTCAGTTCTAAAATGCTGTATTTCGGCTGATGATAAAGATTGTGACTCAACTTTTACAACCATTATGACCATATGGAAACCATGCTTAAGATGCAGTAAAAATTGCCTCGTGTAAAATGACCTCATTCCCAAGGGGGCTTTGTGATGGCAGTATCAGTAATATTGAATACAAGTAGTGCTGCATATAAAGCATAATTTCTAAATTTTCTAGGTAGCAAAATGTATAAAACAAGACAGGGTCAATTGGAAAACCTTGGAAATGGTGCACCCAATTATTTCCATAATTATATTTTTAAATGCGAGTATTTATAATACAGCTGTACTGTGACAGTTACTTTGGACATTAAATTTGTCAAATGCAACGAGATAACCTCGACAAGTTCACACCCACTCATAACGTCGACTCGATGTTATTTGTGGCAACATGAATATGGTGGACCTAGCCTCTAAACATATCAGGTTGATGTAGAACTTCAAAGCAAATTTTCAAAACCGTTTTATAAACTTGAAAATATTTTTCAGAAATCTTGTATGAATATATATATATTTATGGCGCCATTTTGCTATTAGCTGAACTGTCAATTTCGATATATATTTCGAATAAGCTTGCTCCTAGTTTAACATTCAAGCAAGCAGATACCTCAAAGTATTTCCATGAATCCATGTCTTTGGGTTTAACAAAAGTGTTAGAGAAGATATGATTCAACTACCAAGAATCAGACTTTTTATATTAAAACTACAACGAATATTAAATTAAACGACATGAATATATTAGTAAAATATGAACAAACCTCAATTTCTCATCAGCACGTTTATAGAAACGTTACTTCGCCCAAAATGCATACAGAGTTTTGTCTTTTGAATGTACTTTCATATAAATGCCTGTGAAGAACTTCTTTTTGGCAGAGGGGAATCAAATAATTCCCCAAATCATGGTAGTGATATATATGTCAATATAAAGTCTTTCAGGCTAAAGCACACGTTGGACTGGAAGCGGGCTGTTGCATTGGAGGGAATCAGGGTCTTCCCGAAATGCAACGCTCGATTTATTATTCAAAATCTTTTATTCTGAACGCGCCCGTTCGATTAAAAACTGTACTCTGTAGTGAAATATATTGCGATTTTTGCTGTGAAGATCTCGTTTTCTCAAAGGTATCTGGTATGTTCTGATAACTTTTTTAACTGATAACTGATAAATTTAATAATAAAAGTTTGGAATAATTTTGTATACTGTATATATCGCATTTTACTTTATATGTTAAAGGTGATCTACAGTCCGATCCGCGCATGTGCACAAAGGAGCCCACTTTTTATGATGAGGAGTAAACTGTACTTTTTTACAAGGAAACTAAAATAAAATCGCACCGAAGAGTTTTCGCGGGTTGGTCCATTCCATTTTAATATCCACACCCCCCTGTTGACGAGATATTCCGAAAGGGGTCTGTTGAAATTTCCGAGGGGGGTTGTAAAAGGACAATTTCTGAAGGGGTTAACATTTTTTTTAATTTCCGAGGTGGGAGGAGGAAGGTACTACCTGTTGACGAAAATTTCCGAGGGGTTGGTCAATAAATTTCCGAAAATTTCCCAGGGGTTGGTCAATAAATTTCCGAAAATTTCCGAGGGGGGTGAATAATTTCCCGAAAATTTCCGAGGGTGTCTATCGTAATGGAACCACATCAACAGGTATTTCCGAGGGGTTTGAGAAAAATCGTAAATTTCCGAGGGGGTTATGAAGTTTTTTTAGCGGACAAAATATCTGAAATGTATCAATCGAGTTTATGCGCTATAAATTGATGTTATATGCTATACATTGATGTTATGTACAAATACATCGATGTCATAAACCGATACAACTAAAAGATAAACCGATACAACTAAAAGATAAACCGATACAAATAAAAGATAAACCGATACAAATAAAAGATGAGGAAACGGAAGTAAATACCAATAAAAGATGAGGAAGCGGAAGTAAATCGGAAAAACGGAAGTTGAGCGACGCGGCAAAATTGCGCGTGCCAAGTAGTGGCGAGAATACCAGATGTTCAGGATTTTGTTCAGTCTAATCTTAAGCGCGGCGACCAATTTACAGCATTCTTCGCAAAAACGTGAAGAAAACGCATCACAAGGTGGTTCAGTGCGGCAGTTCACATCGTTACCCGAAGAAATGAATTCTCGTGTCCGAATACCACGTACTCAGAATTCGTGTGTACCAAATAATGCGTCTGTGCCGCAGCCAGCCTTTCAGGGATACTGAATTTTACACACATGACTATCTCCTTCTCTCGCCTTATATATTTTACATGCCTCCATACAAGCTTCAGTAGTACAGCGAGATCATACTCCTTGAGGCCCCGTTTACACTATACCGGATTGCATCGGAGCGTAGCGATTTTCATACCGGATTCGGCTGCTGTTTACACTACGCCACAGTAATCCGGTACGCGACGCGGAGCAAAAATCACTCCGCTTTGGAGGTGATATGAAAAGTAATCCGGTATGTGCCGGAGCAGTGTAAACAGGCTAATCCAGTACGCTTCGGTACAAAATCGGTTTTGGCGTGTATGTTTTAACATTGTCGCCTTTATTTGCTCGCTTTTACAATACTTTATAGCTGTTGTTTGTTTCGCCTTGCAACCATTTACTATTTCTGCCGAATACAAGTAAAGAAAACGATAATAACATTGACTTTTCGCTTTCGAAAGAGCAAAATTTAAGGAAATACTCTGAAATACTGAGAAAGGAAATTTCGTGTTAATCACCACTTGCATGGAGACGCCTAGATGTAGCTTACGGTGTAGACCCCTCACGAAACGTGTTTCTGCTGGGGTCTACACCGTAGGCTACCTAGATGCAGCTTGGATGCAGTTTGCCTGTAGTTGAAAATCTCCAGAAATATCGGTATATCTTAGAAAACATAGACGGGATCTTCATAGATTTCAGCTGATTCGTGCCAAACTGCGCTTTAAGATAAATAATATCGGTTGAGAAGTCTTTTGGCTATTTATTTGTTTCGAAGACTTGTGTATTCATTAAAGAATATCTCGCCACTCCTTGACGAGTAGCTGTCAAATACTGCCATTTTTGGGGTAGACACGTGACCGGCCCGGACCAGGGCTTCCCCCTGGGGCTTCCTCGTGTCTCGCCTCGTCCTCACACTGAAGCCCTGGGAACGAGGGAACATATTTTAAATTCTTTTTTATTATTAAATGTCTCCAAATTTTACAATCCATGAAACGGTTGTAAATTAATAAACAGCAAAAAATACGCGGCGTGTTACACAGTTTTCAAAAATGAATTATGAAAAACGAATTACTAACAACCCAAGAGTCCCAAATACTGTAACTTTTAAACCAAATTTTGTCATTTTTAGGGACCGATCATTGATATAATGGGGGGGGGGGCGTTGGGTGAGAAATTGGGTGCGCCGTGCGGCCTCAAACCGAAAAATATGTGACAAACGGCAACCCCGATTTTTAAATACATTCCTACTCATTTTCAATCTCTCGTCTTTATCGTATTACACAAAATATTTCACATTTTTTAGTTCCTATAATCGTAGTTTCCATAATTTATTACATATATGCAGTTCATGCACCATAGGAGTCGGAGTAAATAACAACCATTTTGAATACTGGTTCTCTAATTATTTAGGCTACACAAAGTCTTACACCAGTACTTGTCCCATTACCTATTTTACACAAAAAATGTAACGAACTAAACGTTGGAGTGGGGGGAGCCTTAAGGTTTCTAGACGTTCTCTAATTATTTAGGCGTCTTGAAAATAAAGGTCTTGCGATCGGAGGCGGCTCTAAAAATGTTCATTATTTGTACTTATCATCCCCCCCCCCCCAAAGTTGTCCAGTTCAGTATCTTACAACGATCTTCACATGACATTACACCTCTTCGCTGGTTTAGAGCTATACGAGATGCTCTTCTTTGGATTTTTTCTATAGCTTGAATATCCTTTACTGTATGGAAACCACACAGGCATTGTGTTTTCAAGGATTAATTGGTCTAACCAAAGATTGATTCAATAGTGAAAAACTCCTACAGTTAGTGGTACCCTTCGTCCTATTAGCTTTGTTTGCCGTATTATTTACATGTTCTCAAGATCTTTGTAACTTTTCACTGCCACTAATGGATCACCATGATCACCAAGTGCGTAGGATGGAATAGATTTGTTACACGTATGCGTTATTCGCATGACTTCACACTTATTCGTGTTGTACTTTAGCTGCCATAGATTAGCGAAATTATTCAGGTGGTTAAGATCAGATTGTAGCGCTGATGTATCTTCGTCTAGATCTTCCAATATCCTATGTAGATCTTAGTATCGTCCGCGTATAGTTTAGCCTTTGATGTAACAGCGTCAGTCATATCATTAATATATGTAACTTAAAAACTTTAAAAATAGAATTGGCCAGAGTATCGTCCCTTGAGGAGTCCCAGATATAGCAGGTGACCACTTAGAACAGGTTCCACAGATTACCACACGTTGAAGTCGATGTGTTTGAAAATCTCTCAACCAGCCTAACAGAACTCCATCAATGCCGTAGCCACCTAGTTTCAAAAGCAGTCTTTCATCAGAAACACTGTAAAATGCCTTATTCAAATCTAAAAAAATCGCATCGGTCGCTATTCTCCTGTTTCGAGAGTTTAACACAATTTAACAGTTGAGTAAGAGTTGATCTTCCTTTGAGGTACGGAAAATTATTAGCATTCAGAACCTGTTCTTCATTCCAAAAATGTATCATTCTATTCCACTGCGAGGAATGCTTTGATTCTCAATTATTTTGTTCTATATATATAGTGTCATGGTTTTTGGTATGCTGTTTGTAACAATGTAGTTGACATATTCTTCTGGGACCGGTTGTACGATTTTTTTGTACGATTAAATTTCGGTTATCGAGCGGATAAAGTTAAACGATGTCTTGAGACCGTTTAAATCGCTATCCGAAGGATAAACTCGGAGTTTGAAGACAAAACAATGAGTATTTTGGATGAAAGTGGGTGGGATAGTAATAGAATTGCAACAATCCTGTTAAGGAGTCAACTTTTTAAATCCAATGAACATTCATGATAAACCCGCTTTTATAACTGACTTGGTCTAGAGGTACACCGAGATCACTTGCTCACTTATAATTCCGTGGCTTGCTATTTTACGCACATCACTGATACCATGCAGTATCAGTGTTTAGACGTTAAGTATATTACGGCTTTTTCTCCTTTTCTTCTATTATATAGTTCGAAAACATTCGATTCGAGCGGGCGGTTTGCGTTTAATGTTTAATTATTATGTACATTCTCCCAATAACCATGTACCGGGTGTCCCAAAAAAAAGTACTCCGGTTTGATTTATAATAACTTCTAAACAAGTAAAGCTATCAAACAGAAATAACTTGCATTAAATAGAGGAAGGACTAACTTAGATTTTGATATATTACAGTTGCATTTTACTTAAAAATTCACGGAGATATTAATGTTCAAAATCGGGAGCATATTTATGTGTCTAAAATTAGCGAAAATCGGCGTATCAAATTTTAACTCCAGCGTTTGTTTGCTTAATGACATATCAGGGTAACTTGTATTTCGGCGAATTGTCGTTAGGGTTTGTAAGGGATATGGCGTAGATTTAGACATCTTACATGTAAGTCTTAACTCATTGTTTCCTGAAATATGAACGTTCGAAATTATGTAAGTATTTAATAGGTCTTTGCAAACTTAAGGTACATGAAAGACCATGCAAGGCAGGCGCTTCAATTTTTCTTAAATAACCTATTTTTTATGTTTTTCATGGGTTCAAAACAAAGTTGATTATTTCTCGGTTAGAGCAGGATGAATATTGTTCTTTAATGGAGGAAATATAATATTGCTTTTTGCAAATACACATCACAGTATCAAAGCTACTATTTTGTTACGTTTTGTTCCAAAAATGTTGGATGTCTCTGGGGAGTTGCTTGTTATGTCTTTACTTATGGAGTTGTATGGTTTGATTGTGTTTCATTCTCAGTTTATTCTGAACTTGCCAAGATTAAGAAAGGCAAAAGAGTTTGGGTGTTCTTAACAAGATTTCAGAACGTTGTAGAAGTTAGAAAATTCATTCAATGTGAAGTTAGAAAATTCACAATTCCATTGTGACAGCGTGCCCTAATTCAGAACTACGAACGATCCATGACGATCCTTCGCGATGCAGTGGTCTCATGAAATAAGGAAACGTATTCGTGCTAGGAACACACGCGGATTTCGGACGAATAAATCTTGCTTGTATTTTGTAGATAATAATACTTTGTTTCATAATAAACAATTTGTCAAGTGTCATTTATTTACAGGTAATAGTGCATGTTTCAGTTGGGTAAATCTTGATTAACATTTGATACGCTGTTTTTGGCATATTTCAGACACATCCAAAAATATGCTCCCGATTTTAAACATTAATATCTCCGTGAATTTTTAAGTGAAATACAACTGTAATATATCAAAATCTAAGTTAGTCCTTCCTCTATTTGATGCAAGTTATTTCTCTTTAAAAGCTTTACTTGTTTAGAAGTTATTTCGAATCAAACCGGAGTACTTTTTTTTGGGACACCCGGTATACGTACGGTATTCAGAAAGTACTTACAACTAGTTATTTCATTAACTAACTAGAAATACATGCATGCAACAACCCCTCGCCTAGTATATTTTCCAAACATTGTTTCAACATGAAGTATTCGTAATTACTAAACGCAGGCTCGCGTTGCCGCGTCATGTTATTCATGGCAAGTGGCAACACAATATTTTTTTTAAATTTTTTTTGTACAAACCTGCAAAAAATAGATGAAATTTGAACACTTTTAAATATAGAACTATCAATTTCTAAAAATAAAAAGTAGGTATATTATTTTGGTTTCCATGGGCTTTATTTTAATGTAAAATTCAAAACGATGTCAAACGCTTTTGGTGGATGGAATTCCATTGCCACTGAGTGTCTTTACGAGTAAGTAGACGGAGAGGTTCGGCAACAGTTACAAAATTCGGGATAAAACGCGAGCAGTAGGTACCAAGTCCCAAGCAACTGCGTACTTCAGCTGTTTTGGTGGGTACTCTTGCTTCACGGATGGCTTAAACGTTTTTAGTGTCAGGGCTCGCTGACCCCAGATGCTGACACTTCGTGACCGCGAAAAACGGTTGCTAACACCAAAAAGGCACCTATCCTTAAGGGTTCAGGGTAAGACTCGATTCTTGTGGTCGTTGGATAACATTGTTAATGTTCTAATCGTGTTCTTTTTTGGTTTACAGAAAACAATATAATGATATCATCGGATATGTTTCATACGTCAGCAGATCCTTGTAAATGTTGTATTATCTGTTGGATATTGTGTTTGTAGATTTTGGGTGCTGTGGAGACCCCAACCATCAGTTGCGTATACTGGTACAAGCCCTTCTCGGTTGCAAAGGTGGTATTTGGTTGAGGTTCAAGATCCATGCATTTCGATTTGATGCTAGCCGGATCGTAAATCAAATTTAGAGAAAATGGTGGCTCCTTGCAACTCTTGTAGAGTTTCTTCGATAGTAAGGATAGGGTGGCACTCGCGGATTATTGCAGAATTTGCTTGACGCATGTCTACACAGACACGAATGTCACCATTAGGCTTTGGTACTGAAGCCAGAGGTGAGACCCAGGGGGTAGGCCCGTTCACTGGTTCAATGATACCAAGTGTTTCGAGTTCATCAAGTTTTGCCTGGACAGCTTTGCGAATGTGGAAAGGAATTCTACGTGGTGCTTGGGCAACTGGAGGTACAGACTTGTCAACATATAGTTGGAGTTGAAAATCATTTGGTTTCTGATGCCGTTGAAACCTTGCGGATACTCGGTAGCAAGTGTTTGCATGAACAGGTTATCTCCATTACATATATGTTCTGCATTGGATGGAAGTTCTCATGTTCCTGAAATAACCCAAGATCAGTTGCGGTTTTCTGGCCCAAAAGTGAACCAGACTTTTGGTTGACAACAACGATGAAACTGGCATTCGTAATTAAATCTTTATGGAAGACCTGTGCAGTAAACGAACCTTGAATATTCAGTGATGTTGATGATCCATATGGAAATAATTTGAGATTTGTTTCGGACACTGTATTCAGGCTGTTTGCCTTAATTTTCGAAAATGCTTCATTGTCAAGTACATTTAACAGTTCCACCTGAATCAACGATCAAATCAACTGGGAGATCTCCAATTTTGACGGTTGCCGTGGGGCATTTTCCCGGTGGCACCAATTTCGAAAACATACTCGTCATCTGATGAACTTTCCCCCGGGACAGGATGTGGGGCGCCGTATAAATACCGTATTTCGCCATCACTTACGGTATTTTGTTTGTAGATTTCATTCTGTTTACGATGTTGGATTTTAATTGGGTTTGTTTGTTGGTTTCAGTTGGCGACATACTCTAGCGAAATGTCCAAGCTTGTGACAATTATTGCAGGACATTCCTTTGGCAGGACAACGAGGATTTTAGCTCGGTGACCAGCATTTCCACAACAATAACAAACAATACTCAAGCGACCTGTTTGCGTTGATGTTGGAAAACGAGGTGGCTGGTGGTGTAGCTTTCGAACGTATTGCATTTACGCCCAGGTCAATGGTTTTTAAGCTGTCTGCTTCTATTTGCGAAGTTTGTCGTTCGGATGCTTCGAACGAACGGCCGATTTCGATTTCTGAAAGTAATCGTCGCCTCAAACGACTAGACGAACAATGTTCGATAATTTGGTCACGGATCATATCGTTGAGGTTGTTATATTCGCAGAATTTTACCTGGTGTTTTAAACGGATAGCTAACTGTTCGATCGTTTCTCCGTGTATTGTGTTGTCTGTCGAAAATTATGACGCTCGAAAGGAGACAGTGTTCTTTTGTTGCTCGAAGTAGGTGGTTAACTTTGTTATGGTGGTGTCGAGATCGTTGCCAGTGTCTTCTAGTGTTTCTTTGGCATTTTGCTGTTTCTTGTCGGTGATTCCCGAGGCTGCTATGTAGTATTCAAATGATTTTATCCATTTTCGCCAACGATGACTAATTCTTGAAGTTTCCCCCAAGCTGAAAAGTTGTATTTTCTGTACAGATCCAGTACTTTCGCCATTTTAGCACGCGTTTAATAAGAACAACTCCGTCCCCTCGTCGCCAGTTATAGTATCCTACTTTTAATCAAGGGTGGGTTGACTACAAAATTTTTGTAGTTCGCTATAACTACAGCTACTTCAGAAATATGTAGTCAGCTACAACTACTGCTACTTTTGAACAAAGGTAGTTCGCTACTGACTACAGCTACTGCTTAAAAAATGTAGCGAACTATTTCGCTATTTCGCTACTCTATATTTTTTAGTGAAACGGTATTTGGAGCATCCACTAGCTCAGGCTGTAATATAACCTATAACAAATCGACTTACGAGTAGTAACAGTAAACAAAAAGGGTCAATTAAAGCAACATTTTTGTAAGCACTACGGTGTTCAGGAGTGCCACTTTTCATTGCGCTAAAATAATCTTTGCTGTATAAAATAATCTTTTAAGCAAACCGTGTCTTAATATCATTCTATTCTATGAACGGTTGCTAACAATTTTAAAAAGTAGCGAATAGCGATTCGCAGTTTGAAATGTAGTCAACTATTTGGCTACTTTTAGGCAAAATGTAGTTCGCTATAACTACAACTACTGTTTTAAAAAAGTAGTAAAAAACTACTGGCTACTTGAAAATTGTAGTTCGCTACAGTAGCGAACTACAACTACTTCGCTACTACCCACCCTTGCTTTTAATATACAGTCCAAAACACATACGGCAGAATATATATTGCCCTGAAATGAAAACCCTTTCTAAAACTCTTGCCCACGAGGTTTTGTTCTCTACGCCCTTTTTGCCCTATATCCATATCGGTCCCCTTAATGTCAACAGTAGTCCATAAACTAATGAAGTAAATAACAGGAACACTATATCCCTCCCCCTTTTTAAAATGTTAATATTAGGCCGTCGTCTAGTGCCCCAAAAGATGGCTAGAAAACGATTTTCGTTGCACACCTCTTTAAACTAAAAGAAAATTACATATTCTTATAGATTAAAGGTTTTTCTGTGTTGGTGTTGTGTACTCAGGTGAATATGACACTTGCGATGTTACTCTGAGTGTGTATCCACACCGGGCGAGCTTGAAAAATATGCCCGGCCACGGTGGGATTCGAACCTACAACTTAAAGGTGATCTACAGTCCGATCTGCGCATGTGCACAAATGAGCCCACTTTTTATGATACAAACAGTTTAACTATGTTTTGAGTTCTTGAAAAGCCTGATTGTTGTTTCTTGATCATTTATTATACTCTAGAAGCTTAAAAATATAAATAGTTGTCGAATAAAGCTCAATATTTTGGACACAAAAATGTAAACAAAGGCTTTGTTTACATACGGACTGTAGATCACCTTTAAGTGACGCTGAATCCAAATCTAAAAAGTTCTTGCGGGTTCACCCTGCAGTTTTTTTGTAAATTGCGATCAAAATCTTAAAATAAACGAGTTTCGCAATAGCATTTTTACTATATGCCATACGTCAAAATGCCTACTCTCGGAACCAGTCACTCGCGCGCCATAGTGAAAATTATACAGGATAGGTCACTTCCGTCTCCTCTTGAGATATGTGAAATCAGATTTGAGGTAAACAATAAGCAATACGATTTTCAAGTTTCATATATTATTGCGACAAAGCGTATTTTCTGGCTTTGTACGAAGATATTTAGCAACACCAGGCATTCTTTCAAAATTATGAACTTATGTGCACACTATATCATCTTTATGGCGTGTAAAGGACGAAACAAACTTCAATTTTATATTTTGTCATTTTGAAGATAAGAGTGGACATAATTGTAGTATAAATGGATATATTTGTGTGAGTATGGTAAGTCAAAAACTACCAAATATATAAAAGTAAATATATAAATATATATATATGTATTTTATATAATATATATGTATTTTATATAGTAAATATATAAAATACATATTTAAACAATACTATAATTAGTACCATATAGTAATTAATAACACATTAGCTTTTATCATCATCACAGTCCACTGCCTTCATCTATAAAGTTATTGTCAAGTAGATCTATCTCATTGTTCTCACAATTGCTGCATTTGCAAAGTTCAGACCTCTCAACTCTCACGCATTCGGCGTGAGTCTCACGCAATTCGCTTCAGTCTCACGCTCTCACGCCAGACCTCTCAATTCTCACGCATTCGGCGTGAGTCTCACGCAATTCGCTTCAGTCTCACGCTCTCTCTCACGCCACGTTTAGTAAATCTAACGCATAAAAATTTTGGCATATCCGCATAGGCGTACCGGGCGAGTTTTTTGGGCAGTCGGGCAATATTCGATCAACAGTCGGGCAATTTTGGGTTGCAATAAAAGAAATGTGACAAATTCTGTAAATTTTTGGCAAATTTTGTGATTTTTTGAAAATTTTGTGTATGTTCCGGAAAATATTGGTTGTCCGGAAAATTTTTTTGACCCCTAAAATGGTGCACTGATCGAAATTTTTTTGGCGACGGGGGGGGGGGGAAGTCGCCGAAATAATTTTTCCGGAAAATTTTTTTTCAATCTCACGCTTAACTTCTCTAGTTGAGAGGTCTGAAAGTTTAGTGCACTTTAAATTTGCTTTAAAAATTAAAATGAGCATTTTGTTTGACAACCCTTTTGCATTTGTATTTTGTAGCTAACAAATTACTGACCAACTCGGCCCATACCATCGCGGCCCAATAGTTAACTACTGTTTGACATATTAGGGAACTAAGGAAGTTTATTAACATTTTACAAGGCAGCACCAAACCGATATGCTGTTGCATTGGGTATAGAGATGAGTAAAGTTTGATTGCAATTGGCTATGAACAAGTTCTAAATCAATATCGCAAGAGAACATCCAGTTCAAATCTCTCTCAAACTTTGCAAAGATAGAACGTAGTCATGGTTCCTAACTTAGATTAGTCAGTTTAGGAGCGGGACGAGTTTGTCCTTGGACGGTGGGCAGAGTTGGTTAGTGGGCCGAGTTGACTGTAAACTAAGCATTCTAAGATGCAGTGTGGAGCAGGGCATTGTGTCCCCCATGGGCATTATTGATCGATGTGGTATTTTCCTGGCTGTAAAGATATCACTCCAGGAGGGTGGTGACATTCTCGGGAAGGTGTAAATCATCTCGAAGTGCCTCGAATGCATATTTGAAGAATTTGTGGTGCTTAATCTTGCTACATACTTTAAGTGCTGTTGTCTTGCCTTTACTGCAATGTTGATTGTTGAGATATTCTAACTAAGTTGTGTGGGCAGAAGAGCAATTATGTGTTAGGTGGCAGTTATGTGACCTTATACATACAGTAACTGCTGCTATATGTAGTGGAAACTTATAATTTAAGTAGGTAAACCCATCTAATTTATGACAAAATGTTATTAAGACTCCAGATGTTTGTTGAAGAGGAGTAACTCTTCCTGAAATGTGACAGGTATAGCTTTGCCTATCAGCAGGGTGATCAATGAGTCTTGGTACATAAATTATGCTCGTTATATGTCTGCATACTGGCTGGAAATGATTTGTTTGCATTAGACACACCCCGGTGAGGAAATTATCTATGCAGTATGATTCTTCAAATATTGAAATATTGGGATGATATCTACTCGAAACATTATGCAGTCAGATGAATATTTAATTAAATACTGTTATAAGATTGAAGAAAACATTGAAAGTTTTTTGCAAATAATCAAATACTGACAGTAAATCAACACTTGGATACTGTAACTGTGTGACACTAACAAGTTGTCAAACTGGATGTCATTCTATAGTTTTGAGTTCACTGGAGAATTTTAATAAATTTAATAATCTTTTTAGGCATATAACATAAAACTAATTTAGATAAGATGAATCAAGGATTGGATCCTAAGGCACTACCACTGGGGCACTCTAAGGGGGATTCATCCTCCCCTAGTCTACCTCACAGCCACTCTTTGTGTCAAGGTTTCTCCCCATGAGTGGCGGCTCACTCGAGCACAACATTCCTTTCCTGAAAACAACCAATCACAGTAATGCTTCTAAATTTTGGAAACATGACCTTGAGACAAGATATTTATGAATTATTAAACATTAAGATATCTAACGAAAGACAAAGGGAACGGAATGCTGTGCTTCAGTGAGAAGCCGCTCGTGAGGAGAAACTCAACACAAGTAGCAGCTGTGAAGGAGTCTAATGCTCCCCCAGAATATTTAAAAAATAATGTGCCCCAGATTGGCTAAAATACACTATCAAACTATGAAGATGGATGCACTTATAATTGCATTTCTTAGCTCATTCCTACAGAACAGGTAACATTCTTTCTATTGGTTACAATTTTCCCTCTGAATTTCTCCTTTTATCTAAATGTTTACAATATATATATTTTTTTCTTTCATGGGGAAATATCTGATCCGGACAGCATCTGCTCCGGATAGCTGCAAATGCAAAAAGGGTTCTCAAACAAAAAGATGCTCATGTTTTAAGGCAAATTTGAAGTGCACTGAACTTTGCAAATGCACTAACACTATTAGCTGTGCTCTTGGCATAATTTTATACAAAAATCCACACAAGCAATTGTGAGAACAGTGAGATAGATCTAATTGACAATAACTTTATAGATGAAGGCAGTGGATTGTGATGATGATGAAACCTAATGTGCTATTAATTACTATATTGGTATTAATTATAGTATTGTTTAAATATGTATTTTATATATTTACTATTAAGTATTTGATAATTTTTGGCTTACCATACAAATATATCAATTACTACAAATTTATGTCCATTACTCTGTCTTCAAAATGTAAAATTGAAGTTTGTTTCGTCCTTTATTACACGCCATAAAGATGATATAGTGTGCACATAAGTTCATAATCTTGAAAGAATGCCTGGTGTTGCTAAATATCTTCGTACAAAGACAGAAAATACACTTTGTCGCAATATACAATTACTTTATGGTTTCCGTGTTTGGATGGCCTGATCCAAACACGGGTTTCGCCAATCAGAATACGCGTTATGTACATGTTATTTTATAATAATATATGAAACTCGTAAATCGTGTTGCTCATTGTTTACCTCAAATCTGATTTCACATATCTCAAGAGGAGGCGGAAGTGACCTATCCTGTATAATTTTCACTATGGCGCGCGAGTGACTGGTTCCGAGAGTAGGCATTTTGACGTATGGCATATAGTAAAATGCTATTGCGAAACTCGTAAATTTCAAGATTTTGATCGCAATTTACAAAAAAACTGAAGGGTGAACCCGCAAGAACTTTTTAGATTTGGATTCAGCGTCACTTAATCTATAAGAATATGTAATTTTCTTTTAGTTTAAAGAGGTGTGCAACGAAACTAAACATTTTGGGGCACTGGACGACGGCCTATATCAACCAATATCATTAAGTATCCATCGTTGAGACTGAAATGTTTTAAATAACCCAATAAAGAAAACCTAATAAAGATTGAAATGTTTTAAATAATGTTTTAAATAATCACCGGGCATTACTCATATTGACCTATCCCAACGGCACAGAGAATGATTACGAGTCGAATTTAACGGTTTTAACAGATTGCACCTTTTTAAATTTTCGACTGAATTTCAATTTGAAATATTGCGCCGACCAAGAATTTAAGCTTTCTATATTTGATTTGTGCATGTTATACAATCTTTTTGGTAAAAATGACAGGCTTACCTTGATGTTTATTGTTTCTACCACAAGAATATTCTTACGGGGTTTCCGTATAGAATTTATTAATCGATCAGATCAATTCTGCACTTTATAGGTATTCTCGATTATTTTTGTACTTTCTCAAATCAAATCAACTTGATGCACTAAAATATGTACAATAAAATAGCAATGAATATGTTTATCGAGATTCTCAACCATTGGTCAGCGGATTTCTTGAAAGGCTATTGACCAATTGACAGGGAATCCGATGCACCGAT